TTTATATTCAGGTCTTTGATCCATTTTGAAGTCGTTTTTGTATACGGTGTGAGGTATGGGTCCTGTTTCATTTTTCTGCAAATGGATATCCAGTCCACTGCAGATTTTGTGCTGCTCTCCATGTCCTTTTGAAGGGACGGCTCTTCTTGCCTGTGGTAGTCAGTCCCATGGGCCTTGTTGGCTGTGATGGGTGTGTGTGAGCCACTGGTCCCCACAAGCTGGCTGTGTGTCTGCTCCTGCCCCTCTACCCCACATGAGTGGACTGAGGTCCAACCACACGATGCTGGAGATAATGGACTCTCTGGCCCTCTGCTGCCCGGTCCTCACTGAACTCTTCTTGGGAGAGCTCAATGGAAGGCCTGTTCACTGTGTGTGGCTTTGACAATCAAGATGCCAAGAGCTACACAAATATCTCCATCATTTTCTAGGACATAAGAAGTCAAGGAGAGACAGGCCTTCGAGGGACTGGCGAGAGCGGAGGAATGCCATCCAGCTCACCCACGAGTATACAGTGGAGACCATGGTGGTGGCTGACGCCAACATGGTCCAGTACCATGGAGCAGAGGCAGCCCAGAGGTTCATCCTCACCGTCATGAACATGGTAAGTGCTGGGCATGGGCGTTTATGCAGGGTGCACCGTATACTCCTTGATGGGTGCTCAGGAAGCAGGTGCTGTGTCTTAATGATCTCCCCAGTTAAGGAAGAAGCTGGGAAGGTGGGGACATACATAACCTACAATTGCTGGGCATTGTGGAGGGACGAGGAGTGGCGGGCATCCCCATGAGAGAGTGCCTGCCCTGCCAGTGCCACCCTGGTCGAGGCTCTTGGTAATGTGCAAGGGCCCGGGTCTGCTCAACGAGCTGTCCCTGCTTGTTCTTCATTACTAGAGGCTTTACCAGACACTGCCATGTGCAAGACCCACTCCAAGAGGGACACAAAGTCGACAGCCACAGCCTGCTCTAGGGAGTCAGCCAACTAGTGGGAGGAGTCAAATGAAACTGTAGTGTGAAACACAGCTTGATGTGTGCCCTGAGGGCCTGGCAGAAAGGAGGGAGAGCGTTTGAATTGAGGACCTAAGGAAGGAGCCGTGATGTAACCCATGTCTGCATCAGACTGTTGAATGGACTAGAGGGAAGCTTTCTTTCTTTTTTTTTAAATTGTACTTTATGTGAAAGTTTACAGTTCAAGTTAGTTCTCATCCAAAAATTTATACACACATTGTTATGTGACCCTAGTTGCTCTCCCTATAATGTGACAGCATACTCCTCCTTTCCACCTCCGATTTCCCATGTCCATTCAAAGGGAAGTTTTCTTTATGTGATGGCAGGGAGGCTGGTGAGGCTACAGTCCTCAAACTTTAGACATGAAGAATCTTAGCATGCATTGCACCTCACCCACCCATCCCTTTTCCTAACAAACATTTTAAAACCTACAGGCATTTTGGTAGGTGCTGGGGACACAAGTACCAAAAAGGCCTGGTCCTTCCTTCAGAAGGCAGTGGCACTGACAGATGAATAAAGCTGTCGCGTCACAGTGGGAGTATCTGCAGAGTCGGGGTGGTGGAGGTGGGGGGTAGGGGAGTGATTGCATCCTGCAGGAGGGAAGCTTCATGAAAGAGAACCTTGAATTGGGAGAGAGTAAATGTTGGCCAGATTGGAGGTGGGGTAGGAAGGAAAGGCAGGTCATACAGGGGGCACAGCTGCATTTGGGAGAGATGGGCAGGTGATTCCATTAGGCTAGGGCAGGGAGCTGAGGAGCCTTAAAAGTGCAGATGTGGATGGAGCAAGGTAATGCATTCTGAGGAGTCCGGCTTTCTCCAAGACAGTGGGGCCACTGTGGAGGTTTAAGCAGGGAAGAGAGGTATCTGGATTGGTGTTGAAAGACCAACCCCAGCAGCTGTGTGGAGGATGGATTGGGGTAGGAAAATTCAAGTCCAGCCAGAAGGGACCAGTAGGCGACCCCTGAACCGGGGTGTGTGGCGTCAGGAGGGGAGTCTGGACTCAGATGGCAGGAGTGACGATGGATAAGGTGGTTGCACTGGAGAGGAGTCTGCGCTAGCAAGAAAGACCCATGGGAGTCAGTGATGGTAGGATGCAGGGGCTGGAGAGGCAGGAGGAGGTGAGAGAGGTCCCGGGACCCCCAGGTTTAAAGCTGGAACCCCTGGCTGAGAAATGGAGGAGGAGAGGGTTTGGGGACATGGGGAGGAATCCCATCTGCACATGCTGAATTTGAGGGCCCTGGTGGCTTAGTGGTTAAGGGCTACAGCTGCTAACCAAAAGGTCAGCAGTTTGAATCCACCAGGTACTCCTTGGAAACCTTATGGGGCAATTCTACGCTGTCCTATAGTGTCGCTATGAGTTGGAATCGACTCGATGGCAGTGAGTTTGGTTTTAGTTTTGGTGGGAAGACAGGATGGAGATCTTGGCTGGAAATAAGGATTTGGAGTTTGTGGGCAGAGAGCTGGCCACTGAAGCTGTGGAAGAGGCTGGCGTTGTTCGGTGGAGTGTATTGGGTAGGTAGTTGGCCAAAGTCAGTCCTGGGGGAAGATGAAGATGGGGAGCCAGTGGATGTGCAGACGAAGACCTGGGAGGATGAGAGGCGCAGGAGGAGACTGTTGAGCAGTACTGGATGCTGCAATCTGGGTCCTGGTGGAATAGCTTTAGGGATTGTTGGGAGTGGATGCTTGGTAGCGGTGAACTGCAAAGTGAACAGGAAGTAAAGAAGTAGAAACAGCAATGGCAGAGGACTCTAGGAGTCATTGGGTAGTGCAAACCATTCACGTGCTCGGCTACTAACCAAAAGGTTGAAGGTTCGCGTCCACCCAGAGGTGTCTTGGAAGAAAGGCCTGGAGAGCTACTTCTGAAAGATCAGCCATTGAAAACCCTATGGAGCGGTTCTGCTTTGACACACATGGGGTCGCAGTCGACTTGATGGCAACTGGATTTTTTTGGCTGAAGGAGAGGAGTGAGGTGAGCCTAGCTAGGTGGAAGCAGGGTCAAGGAGGGCTGATTAGAGGGAAGGTGGGGTAGAGGTTAGAGTGTGGGGTTTAGATTCAGGCAGGCCTGGGTCAAATCCCTGCTCTGCCACTTACCAGGGGAGAGATGTGGGCAGTGTCGGAACTGCTCTGAGCCTACCTCCTGACCAGTGGGTCAGGGCTGTTAGTGCCTGCCACAAGGAAGGTGCAGTGTTGGGCAGCCAATGGGCTCTTCTGCAAAGCACACGTGCCATGCAGGCCCTGGAGGACCATCAGCTGGTGTGGTTTGCAAAGCGTGGGCCTCTGTGAGTGCAGGACAAGGGCCCTAGGCCACCCCCTTGTGAAATTACGCACTCTGAGAGTTCCATCAGCTGGTCCTAGTGCTTGGCACTGGTTTCTCAGAAATATTTCCTTGCTCTTCATTTACACAACTTCAGATCTCCTTTGGCGGTATGGTTAATGGTGAGATTGCAGTGCTTCAGTCTGCCCAGATGAAACCCTGGGTGAGGGCTGGTGGTGCCTGGCTACATGCCAGACTCTTTCATCTGCAGATAATTTTATTTCATGTATTTATTTAATTGTCCAGGGCATAAGTGTAAGGAATGAACATCCGTTATGATAACTAAAGTAGTCATAAAACAAAGCTTCTGCTTTGATATTTGCTTGCATCATTTATCATCTGGTCAGGGGCAGTTGTTTTATCACAAGGCAGGGAGGGATGGTACATGGGGATCACTACTGCCCCCTGCTGTGGACTGGAAGGACTGAAGTCAGTGCTTGATGGGTCAGGTCCTTGGATTTATTAGACACCTCTCACTCTGCTGCAGCTTCCTGTACTAAGACTTCAGGGGCTCAAGAGCCCACTGCTGAGGGCAGATGTGGGGCAAGACACATTAAATTTAGATTTAGGTGATTCCTGGCCTCCCTAATACCAGCAGTCCCACTGTGGTGAAGGGCAGTGTCTTAACATTTAGCTCTTGGTCATCTGGACTTTGGTTTCTTGGCCAGTCTGATCAGGCCAGAGTACCATGCCCACTCACGCTTACTCTGACCACTCAACCCTTTTCTGCTGCTCTAGTTGCCAGTCACTATTAAGTAAATGTAAAAATACATTAAATTTGGACATTAAAACCAAACCCATAGAAGAATCCTGATCAAAAGGGGGAAAATGCAGAACAGAATTTAAAATTCTCATGGGCTCCAGACTTTCTGGTGCCATAGAAGTTGATGAACCACTGAAACTATTGCCCTGAGATAATCCTTAAACCTTCAACCAAAAATAACCCCTAAAGTCTTCTTAAAACCAAGCAATTGTTGTTAGGTGCCATCAAGTCGGTTCCAATCATAGCAACCCTATGTACAATGGAACGAAACACTGCCCGGTCCTGTGCCATCCTCACAATCATTGTTATGCTTGAGCCCGTTGTTGGAGCCATTGTGTCAGTCTATCTTGTTGAGGGTCTTCCTCTTTTTTGCTGACCCTCTACTTTACCAAGCATGATGTCCTTCTCCAGGGGACTAATCCCTTCTGATAACATTTCCAAAGTATGTGAGATGTAGACTCGCCACCTTTGCTTCTAAGGAGCATTCTGGTTGTACTTCTTCCAAGACAGAATTGTTCATTCCTTTGGCAGTCCATGGTATATTCAGTATTCTTCACCAGCAGCACAATTCAAAAACGTCAATTCTTCTTTGTCTTCTTAACTCATTGTCCAGCTTTTGCATGCATATGAGGTGATTGAAAATAACATGGCTTGGATCAGGCGCATGTTAGTCCTCAAAGTGACATCTTTGCTTTTTAACACTTTAAAGAGGTCTTTTACAGCAGAGTTGCCCAATTGCAGTGCGTCTTTTGATTTCTTGACTGCTGCTTCCATGAGTGTTGATTGTGGATCCAAGTAAAATGAAATTCTTCACAACTTCAGTCTTTTCTCCACTTATCATGATGTTGCTTATTGGTCCAGTTGTGAGGATTTTTGTTTTCTTTTTGTTGAGGTGTAGTCCATACTGAAGGCTGTGGTCTTTGATTTTCATCAGTAAGTGCTTCAAGTCCTCTTCACTTTCAGCAGGCAAGATTGTGTTATGTGCATAACGCAGGTTGTTAATGAGTCTTCCTCCAATCCTGATGCCCCATTCTTCTTCATATAGTCCAGCTTCTTGGATTATTTGCTCAGCATACAGATTGAGTAAGTATGGTGAGAGGATACAATCTTGACGCACACCTTTTCTGACTTTAAACCACGCAGTATCCCCTTGTTCTGTCTGAGCAACTGCCTCTTCATCTATGTACAGGTTCCTCTTGAGCATAATTAAGCATTCTGGAATTCCCATTCTTCACAATGTTATCCATAATTTGTTACAATCCACGCTGTTGAATGCCTTTGCATAGTCAATAAACATAGGTAAACATCTTTCTGGTATTCTCTGCTTTCAACCAGGATCCATCTGACATAAGCAATGATATCACTTGTTTCACATCCTCTTCTGAGTCCAGCTCGATCTTCTGGCAGTTCCCTGTTGATGTACTGCTGCAGCTGCTTTTGAATGATCTTCAGCAAAATTTTACTTACATGTAATATTAATGATATTGTTCTGCATTTGATTGGATCACCTTTCTTTGGAATAGA